TCCCCTGTTACCAAAACAATGGTCTAGTTTAAAGGTTCCTTAACATTTCACCTTGTGACCCCAGTAATAAGAGTTTCAGAGACTGGCAACCCTTAATGGTGACCTGTCGATGCCCTGAAATAAAAACATGCCCTTTTCTAGGGATATAAAATATAGGGATATAGTTTTGATATGTTTTTAATTAAATATAATTTCAGTTTGCGCTACAGTATTTACATCAGGACCAGGTCTCAGTACATGACTGTTGTTTTTATTTTTATTTCAAGGCTCTGTCCAGTGAGTCCTTTGAGCGCCTCCCTGTTTTCAACAAGTCAGCTTGGCGGCACTACAAGACGAGCGCTGAGGCGGACGACTGGAGCAACCCCAGCAAAGAGCCCCGTGATGCCAGCAAGTCCTCATACAAAGCCAAAAGATAACTCTGCCTGGCTTGCGAGCACAGCTCCCCCTGCTGGGAGCCAGAATGGCTGCTCTCTGTTTGGAGCATGAACGCTAAAATGCTGCCTGTGGGTAAAAGATTCGTTTAGGCCTGCTTTTACATCCGATGGTGAGAGGTTTCTGTTTGGGGATCGGGACCTGAATTTAGAATTTCCACCTGACTGCAATAACCTTTATTAGCATAGCTTTTATTATTGTGATCCAGAGCAGAGTTGAAATGAAACCCCCTCTATATTGTAGATGTAAATCCTAGCAATTTCTTTATTGATTTAGGACAAATATTGACGTCAGGTCCTCTTGTTAAATTCCCAGAATCACCTCTATGTTTCTGTCTTGTGTCATGCAGTGTTCTGGCCACGCTGTTGTTCCCTGTGGCTAGATAAGCTGTACTCTGCTGATAGAGTCTGTAAAGGCTTGAATTCTCTTCCTTTCTCTCAGAACACAAGGGGGGGTAAGGATGGAGTTTCAGTGCAAACTAGAAAAGGGGGGAGATTTTATTCCCTTTGATTCAATGCACCACTAGGCCAGTTTGTTATTTAAGTGGCAAAAACGTGTTTTGATTGCACTTTTTAAAATATTAGGGTTAGATGTTAAAATATTTATAAATTAGGAACAGTAGCACCTTTAAAAAAAAAAAAGAAAAAAAAAAGGTAGAACAGGCAATGCTTTATAGATTACATGATGTTTTATTTAAGACTCTAGAAGTCGGGACCTTTGTGTTTTATTTATGAAAAAAGAAGCCTTATTTATGGAAACTTATGGTATGTTTGGTGTTTTTTGAACTCCGCCTTCAAGGCTCTACCAGAACTCAACCAATTTTAAAGGGAGGTGGCATATACATATAAAAGTGGTCTGAATTTTTTATTTTATTTTACTGGTTTAGCTTTATTCTTTTTTTATTACGCTGCAACAGAGCATAAATCAAAGTACTAACCCTTATCTAACACTCCTGCTTGCAGCCCTCATGTAACAGCTACTAAAATGTCCAAATGAGTCATGTATATGATGACATTGCTGAGTAGCATCACCAACGCCAGCAAGATTTAATGTACTAACCTTGATGGAAAGAAATGGAGCTGTAGTGTCTGAACGAAGGAATGCCGTTCTGCACGTCTTCATTTCATGCCGCTGTGGAGGATAAACAACCTGCTCACTGCTTGGACCTGTTATCCTAACTCTGCTCTTTGCATCATCCAGTCAGCCTCGTGTTTCACTTGAATGATCCTTACAGTCTTCTAAATGAGTTTGAACAAAGTTTGTAAATTTCAATTATACTGTTTTGTTTTTTTATGACGCGTTCAAGTAAAATAGAAGTTTCAGCTTTAGGTGAACTGTTTTATGATATTTTAGTGACTTTTTTATGTTATATGTATGCTATCTTTTATGTTTGAAAGAAAAGTCATAAGGCACACAAAGATTAGGAGAAGCTATAGTGGAAAAATATGATTAAAAGAGTTAAGACTAGATTCAGAGCACTAGATGAAGTCTTTTCGCTTTTCCTATTTCATCTCACTGAGAAGCATTTTAGTGCACTTTATTAAACCTAATATATTTACACTTTAAAGTGGTTTAATGCAGTAACTTTAATCACACAGAAGCTACGCAGTCGGATTTCAAATGGCTGCTTTAAGCTAATAAAAGAGGAGAATCGATTTCAGTTCCGCAGCAGCAAACTTGTATTTCTGAGTGGATGGTTCTTTTTTTTTTTTTTTTTTTTATTTAAGTGAGGTTCTGTTTGAAGGTTTTCCACAGTCAATATCTTACCTGCCTTCTGTATAAATCCAGATTAGTCGGTCCTGGAGGCTGAAGCCATCATATAGTCCAGTCAAACTTCTCCCGTCAACTCTAAAAAACATGATCATCGTTTTATTAACGGTACACCGTCATAATGATTGTGTTCACCGTCAATATTTGCACTGGTTTGGAGGCAGTGTGTCTCCAGTTATGTTTATGTGGGAAACGCATACCAAGGACAGCATTCACCATAAAGTAGCATTACAATAAGATCATCATCTATAAACTATTATATTTTTTTTTGCATTTATTCAGAAATGTCTTAAAATGTTCTACTGTTCCTTTGATTGTGATAAACATTACTTTTGCATAAATTAATGTGCAATGTAAACATGTTTTAAAGGCTAAACTAAAGTTATTTTAAACGGTTCCCCTTTGGCTGTTAGCTTTAGCCACTTGGACTAGTCGGTCTTTATTTATACAAAATAAAGAGACAAAGTTATCTATCGCAGGTATGGTATCAACTGGATCAAAACTTTTTTTTACAGAACTTCACTTGAACAATTTGGAACCATCCTTATTAAAGGAGATAATAAAGGGAGGTTCATCAGCCTGAAGTGGTTTCCTACTCTCCTTTAGCTCCTTCTGAAGTGAAATGAAAGAAGAATTCAGTGTCTGCATCCTGTAGAATCTCTGCGTTTCACCGCTGCTGAAATCTTAGCAACCTTCCAGTGAAACTGAGGGGCGCTCAGTTTCACATCCGCTGTTAAAAGAAGTGCTGTGTTATAGAGTAGCTGCAGATTTGTGGTCTCCCTTTAGACCAGGCCTGAAAACAAATCAAAAACACAACATAGAAGAGCTCCTATTTTCAAGCTCAGTTGTTTTAAACTCTGCTGTCCTCAAAGCGTCTGCTTGATCCATTTTAGAGAATATCACATAAGATCAACCTATTGTGTATTCTGTATATATAGCGTGTAGATTAATTGCTGTGTTTTTCATCCTTCTGTACAAACTGCTTAAATGATATATTTGTGTACAAGATAGACCAATAATGCAACATTCATCAAGACGTTACAGATTAGTTTCATCTTATCAGTCAGCATGAGATCAACAAAATGTCAAACCGTACAATAAAGCAAAGTCTTGTGTGGTCCATTTGTCTCGTTTTTATATTGAAAGGATGAAATGCAGGGTAAAAATTTATCCTGATCTACATTTTTATTCATATGTTTTGCCATTTAAACAACAGTGACTTAAAAAAAGACAGAAGTTTTGACTGTGGTGGTAAACATGGGGTTCATACAGAAGGTTTGTTATGTCTACATGGCATTAAAGTTATCATTTATAAGGGAGGATAATCTGCGCTGGGCTGGTATGAGCAAACAGGCCTGAGCTAAACAAATGTTAAGTAGAATCATCATTCGAGCTTTTCTACAAATAACTGACATCATTTTGCAAAGAGTAGAGGAATGATTGGTAAATAATATAGATGGAGAGAAACTGTTGGGGACCCCTGATAAAGATGCTTAAAAAGCTTTGTAATAAAAGTTGTTTTTTGTAGCAGCAAGTTTTGTAGAGAATTTGGAAGAAAAAAAATACTTTGAGTATGTTTATATGGTGAGTTAAAAAATCACTGTTTAAAAAAAAAAAAAAAATCAACAAATGCATACCATTTATATCACCAACAATCCCTTTAGAAGAAAAGTAACAAAAGCTTTTTTTAAGCATTACCTTCTTTCAGTTAATTTAGAATTTCTATGAACTTTTTGAGTTTAAGGCAGCTAACAAAAAGTCTCAATGACAACTTAACAAGTGGTTTGTGGATATCATTAAAAAAAGGTCCTTTCCTTCCGAGGGCATGTAGTTTGCTAAACTGCTGGGATTTTAGTTAGGACTTCTGTCTTTTTAAATAATTAATTATGGATGGGGGCTGCTCAGTATACAGCAAGAAGGCTCCAGGTTCGATTCCCAGCTCTCTGAGTTTGCATGTTCTCCCTGAGCATGCGTGGGTTCTCTTCGGGTACTCCGTATTCCTCCCACAGTCCAAAAACAGTTAGTTGCCAATAACTGTTAGGCTAATGGGCTTCTCTAAAGTCCCCTTAGGTGTGAGTGTGTGCGTGAATGGTGATTAAGCGTGTCAGATAATGGATGGATAATTATGGATGGGTTTGGTGAAAAGCAAAGGATCAACATATATATGAAAACGCATCATCTACAGTGTTAAGTACGGTGGCGGAGCTGTGATACTGTGGGCATTTTCCCCCCTGGGAATATTGTAAGAGGTCAAATTAAAATAGTTCATATCTTAGGGTCTAATGTCATCGATAGGGGCTGATTAAAATCAAAAATTATTCACCAGACACAAAATCAGCCCTTTATGCTCATCTCACTGCCTATGCATAAAAGGCCTATAGAAAACCCGTGTAGTTAGCTGAAAAAAATAGAACATTAAATAGGAGCCAGGGCTCTGGATGATATAAAGAGATCATACTGTTTCTGTATCCTACAGCTTTGTGAAGCAGTATAGAAGAATACATGCGTATGTATTGGAAACACGGTTGTAGAAAGACAAGCGGGATAAGAGAAATTGCCAGCTGTGATTTTGTTGAAAACAGATTCTCCCTAACTTAGGATTTGATCCCCACTGAATAAATGTATGCACATTAATGACTGGACTGCCTTGCTTTTTGAAGGGTAAGATTAAGCAAATAAAATACATGATTTATTTATCTTTTTTTAATGCATATCTAGCAGGCTTTCTAATATATTTTTATGTAGATTTTAAATTTGAGCAATAATTATTTTTCAAGTACTTAAAAAGTACAATTATCTTATTAGTACAGTTTGTTTTATTTACAAAAATGGTTTAAACTAACAATAACAATGTGTCTGGGTTGTGTGCAGTGTCTTTTTCTGTTATTCCAATGTAACATTGTGGGAAAAGGTGTCTTGAAATGAGTGCCTACTTGTATGTTAAAGGGAATTTGTAAAGAAGCTTGGCATTTTACAAAATAAGGACAAAAAGCATGACAAGAAACAATCCAGTGATGTTAGCAATTGGTTTCAGTGTCTATTGGTTCTGGACAAACCAAAGAAAGTCCTCTTTACAGGTATTGCACAGAGTTCTTGTTCTTGTATAAAAAACAGTGACACTGAATACATAGAATAAATCCACATCTTTTTCCTTCCCTTTCCTCCATCTCTCTCTGCTCTGCTCCCCAGAGAATCATGGCTTTTTTTTGTATTCCACTGATCAGTGTCAGCGTTGCAAATCTGCAACGTCTTTAAGGAAACCTGGTTCTGTTTCCAGCCGACGTTTGGAGAAAAGTGTTTTTTGGTGAGGTGTTCCTAGGCAGTGTACCGTGAAGTGAAACGTTTCTGCTTTTTTTAATCTACTTCTCGTCCTCGTCGCCTTCACTCATGCTGCTCATCAAGGCTGAGGCTCCTTTGGGGGAGTTGGGGGGCGAGGGCCGGGCGTTGTACCAGCGGGCGGGGGGCGATGGAGGGGAGGGGGAGCGCAGGGGGGACAGTTCACGCGGAGGGCTGTTGCAGGGCGACTCTCTGGGCGACAGAGCGTAGGACAGCATCCGGCCGCTGCGTTCCTGGAACACTTGTTTCTGTTCAGAAGCAAAAGAAGAAGAATATCAAGAGCAATACATGGCGATTACCTGCTCTATGATTAGCTGTAAAATGTCTGGGTAATTATCATATATATTTTCTTTCTCAAAATAAGGGCATTTTTTTCCTAAATAAAGGAGGTAAGTGACACACTTTGCCAATGGAACAACACAATTTAATTTTTAAATAAGAAAAAAAAAAACACTTGCTTTGCCTTATTTCAAGTGGGTATTATCTAATTATCTTATATTAAGAGTAAAAATACTCAAAAATCACCTTATTTACCTGCTTAATTTAAGGGAAAATACATTTACCTTAAGACATTTTGCTTATTTCTAGATAGTTTTTGCAGTGTAAGAATTATACGCACACAAAAATGTATATGTATATACCCCTCGGTTATCTGTTTGTTTCAAATAGGCTGTTTAAGTCAAAATTGTCCTGGTAAACCACATTTTTAGGATGTTTCCTTGGTTCAACACACTAGGTTTAATTTGCATATTCCTGGAGAGCAGGATGGTGCTCTAAACTGGTGTCCTGCACACTTCAACAAACAAAGCATCAAGACTGCAGAGAGACACCTCTGTCCTTAACATTTCACTGATGGGAATAAGTTAATTTGGGCTTTACTTGTTTAAGTTAAAGGGCCTCAATTTAGTTTTCTAACATTACAGCTAACAAAAGGACAATGAGGCAGAGCTCTGCCCTAAGAGGAGGCAGGACTGCAGTAGTGTTAGCTATATTGGTAAGATAAAAATTGGTGTTGTTAGAGCAGCATAAAGAATAAAAAAAATAGCTTTTTGTTTTTTCTGCTTCTGAAAGATTAATTCACAACATTTAGGTTCAGTGAAGATAAATGTTTTATTATATTCTACAGAAACATGTTTCCTTTTTTGGCCTCATTGAGAGCTCAAAGGAAATTAGCCAGGACATCAGAAATGCATGTTCTCTGTTTTTGCACAGTGCTCGGCTGGCCCTGGGACACCGCTGGCCTCCCAGAGAGAAGGAAGTCTGGGAGTCTCTACTGAGACTGCTGCCCCATGTCTCTGATAAGCAGAAGACAATGAGTATTAGTAAGAAACAAAGCGTTTAAACTCAACAAATTAAGGTTTTAGTTTTTGGTTTACCATAAGTTGGAGGATATCTGCCTCCCTTTTTGCATAATGTCACACAGTATCAAGCTTAACTTACCCATGTCCCATCGGGTCCAAAAAGTTCTAGGAAGTTGCCAATAAACTCTCTAGATTTTTCTTCCCATTTCTGGATGAGATCGTGGCTCTTCTCCTCCACGCGGTATACGAAATGTTTGCTCTTCTCTTCAACAGTTCGAACCTTTTCCTTCATGCGATCTACCTGGTTCTGTAGTCGATACTTTTTCTCCTTTGGGGCAAAAAAAAAAAAAAAAAAACAAATCAGAAAAAAATGTATCAAAAGTTTAGAAAAGACATAAATGCTTGAAGAGTTACAAACCTTTCACAATTTAGTCCTTCTATCCAAAATTAACTGAGCTCAGAAATAAAAGTTCTATTCAGGCTTTACATCCTGGAATATTGTTTGATTCTTCTTATTTGCATTGGACTCACTGGCAGGGGGTCAAATAGATGATCTGAAGGTTTGTCTGCAGAAATGGAGGCTCTAGTCATGTCTGTTGTGATGGATAAGGAGCTGGCCCAAAAATGGAACCTCATTTATCATAATGAGATACAGATTATGGTCAATGGCTTGTACTTATACAGCCCTTTTTCAAGTCAGAGGACTTGACCAAAGCACTTTAGACTACATTCAGTCATTCACCCATACACTGATGGTGGTAAGCTACTGTACATTGGGCTGGGCTCACTGACAGAAGCGAAGCTGCCATACACTGGTGCCACCATTCTCTTCGACCACCATCAGTAGCAATGCAGGTGAAGTGTATTGCCCAAGGACATAACGACACTGAAAGCTGAAGCCGTGGCTTGAATCAACAACAGGGTAAACTTCTTCCTCCGACGCCACTGTCGCCCCGCAACTATATTATGCAAGAGATCTGAATATAAATGATAGAAATAGGCTTCATTTTTAGAATTTCTGGACACAGCTTTAGATATAGAGTAGAGGTCTAAATGAAAGGACTCAGATTAGGTGGTTTAATCTAATGAAGATGCCTCCTAAGTGTGCCTCCTATGAGCAAGTTTCAGTCCTTTGGGGAAACAGATCCAAGGGTCGACTGAAAACTCACTGAAAAATGTTGATCTCCCAGAAAATTCTATGTTATTGTAGCTAAATTAATCTGTTGGATAGAAGCACTTTGATGAATGGGCAAATTGTTGGGAAGGGCAGTGAAAAATGTAGTAGTATTTCATCCCATTATGCACAGACAGCGACGTAACATTACAAATCACACAATAAACCGAGATATGAGTAGGTGTCTTTATGATTTCTACAGACAGGTTTACTACAATAGTAGATTAAAACCCTGAAATGATGGCTTTTAGTTTCAGTGTGCCACCCCAAGATCTTTAGTGGCCCTATCTGGCCACTTAAGATCTTGGGGTGGCACTATGGTGGCACCTATGAAACATTTCTGGAGGCGCCGCTGGGGAAGGGGCACTCAATCCTGACCCTGATGGTTTTTTAAGTTCACTCCCCTTTTTTAGGAATAGATATAGAGCAGTGTGAGCCCCATGAAAAGATTTTAGACTGATTTTATGTATATATGCCTAAATATAGATTACACCCAAAGTCATTACAAATTATCGCTCTTGTAAAAGTGACAGCAAATGAGTGCCAATCATTTTAAGTACAAATGCTCATGTAATTTCTTGCTCACAAACCAATCCTCACTGGTGTTTTTCCCTCTTCCTAAATCAGGAATAAGGACACGGTTTTGAAATTATGCCACTGCAAAGGATCTAAGGGGTCTTACTTTGATGTAGCTAACATTAAGCTCCTTAGCTGTGTAGCCGCGTTGCAGGTTACGTCGGGCGTATACATCATAGTCTCGGACAATTCTGGTGATAATATCGGAGGTTGAGATCCCCTCTGTCCGTTGCGTTGGGACAAACATCCCTGGTGAACAAACAGATGCTGTTGCAGCCCAAGGCTCATTTACGGAGGAAATGTGGAACATGATTGCTGTGATCCCTGCAGATAAACCGCCTGACCTGCTTCTTTGATGTGTTTATAAATGTCCTCGGTCCCCGCTGATGAGTACGGGATATCATCATGAGCCACAAAATCGATCTGGAAAACAACCAAAGGACACATACTGTATGGCAGAAAACACAACACGGGCACATAAAATAAATCAATAACATGAGAAGAAGTCAAGCGGGCATGCAGCTGAGCTTTTTAGCTTTGCATAACATGAAGCAATCTGCAAAAGTATTCTTTTAACATCACATTTAGTTTATCCTACTGGGAATTATCTGATACACAACCAAGTATTGAAAAATTTGGAAGTGGAAGGAAAATGATCTGTTCAACCTCCTTTACTGTTAATGACATTCAATTCAATCAATCGCCTTCACAAAATATAACGAGACAGCAATCTATTAAGTGTTAATTGAAAAGTTACATTTGCTATCCTGTTCTTTGACAAACATTCAGATCGGCTAACCTCCTTATTATCAAGAGCAGAAGGGTTTGATCACTCTTTGTTTTCATTCTTGCAGAATTTTATCATTTAAGCGCCATCATGATCATCTTCCCTGATCTCCTTTGATAACTGGATACACTCAGAAGCAATCATTTATTTTTGACTTTACATAAAACATGGCTTTCCACTAAGAAAGTCGTATTTTAGTTAAAAAAGGAGACATGTTACCGGTGAGCTGTGTTTTACTGTGAATCCGCAATAATTGGTTATAACCATCGACGTTTATGTTATGTGTTTGAATGGGCCAGTATAATTCTAGAGCTAAATCCAACTATCAGACTATAACAGGCACCAATGGGGCTGGACCGGGTCTATAAAAACGCCCACAGGCATTTTCGGTTGTTGCGTCCAACAACCGAATACATGTAGCTTAACAGGGGACATACAGAATACACAATTTGAGCTGTTTAAAAAGAAAATATATAGAGAAAATAAATCTATCAAATATTTAAAAATAATATCTGGTAAAAATAAGGGTTATGCATTTAATATTAAAACAAAAAAAATCAACTGTGTATCTGTGTATCACTGTTTTGGTGGATATAATGTTTTTAAAAAATCCTTTAATTACATTTTAATTTGGCAAATTTATATTTGTTATATATAATAAAACATTAAATAACTTATCATAAATTAAAACATTTATAATTACATTATGACAGTCTTGGGCCAGCCCAAAAATAGGGGAACATTCCCTATGCCCGGCCTTGGCACCAACCCCTTCACCTCTATAATTGTCAAACATGGAAATTGATTTTCATGAAAAAGCTTAATTCAGTCTGACTAAACCTAAATCATTTTTTTTAAACAACAGACCGAAGGCTTAGCTTCTAGATAGAGACGGCAAAGGCTAAAAGGTGGGGGGCTGAATGCAAAAGTTTTTCTTCCAATTCACAATTATCCACTACTTTGTGTTCAAATTCTAACAAAATACATCCATTCAGAGACTATAAGCACTTCTCCAAGGTGCTGCGTGTATTTGAAGTTGGCAGTAGTGAAAAGTAACAAAGTACATTTACTTGATTACTGTACTTTTTTAGTATCTTTACTTGAGTAATTTTCTGGGGGTTAGAAGCTGCTAGGTACATGTTCCTTTTGGCTCAGCCTAGCTTTGTAATCCGCTCTTGCTCTTTTTCTTTCTTGAAATTTAATTTCAATATGCAAAGAATAGCAACCCTTAGTAATGAATTTGGACACCACTGCTTAGAGATAAATGTGAGAAACTCACTATTTGTAGCTTATAATTTTTATTAAGGTGTTAGTTGTTGCCATGTGGCCAAGTTGTTCAGTAGGATGAGTTCTCAAAGCAGAGTTGCGGTTTCTTTTTGCAACAGATTAAAATTAAATGTCTTTTCATAGTGATAGTATGAGGAGAATCAAGACATTTTGGTCTGATTTAAATAAGAAACAATAATTAAAATAGCTTTCTTCAAGTTTTTGTAGCATTTTATGCTAAAGTTCTTTACAGGTGGTGTAGAATCTGTAGCAGGTGGTTCTATGTGCCAATACATTAGGTGGTCTCTCAAAGCTACAAGGTTCGTTAAAATTACTCTAAAAATAAACAGAAATGTACTGATATTAGAAAATTACACTTGTAGTAGTTTCAAAAACAAGTAGGCCCTACTTTAATACTCTAACTTGAGTAGATGTTTGACTGAGTAACTTTTTCTTTTTTTTGTATAGGCTATATATATATATATATATATATATATATATATATATATATATATATATATATATATATATATATATATATATATTCATTCAGAACATATGTCCAAATAAAATCTACTTCCAATGTACCATGGTTTTTTTCTTATTTTTGAAACCTAAAGAAAAAACAAAACAAAACGAGACAAAAAAAAAAAAAACACCCACACCACCCACTCTCTCCATGTAGCAACACATGTACACTGTAGAAGTACTATATGAAGCATTAACCATATTTTTGGAAGGTCAGAATTAAGAGAAAAGAGCACAACAAAAATATTAGAATAATTGAAACACAGTGAAGATCAATGTTGATCAGTTACTCAGGTCTAGTAATTTTAACTTTTACTTAAGTAAGTTTTGAGTATGAGTATCAATACTTTGACTCAAGTACTACTGCTGAGTACTTCATCCACCACTGGAAGTTAGACATGAGAGGATTTTAGTCATAAGTATCTCTTTTCACTCATCAATAGCAGTCCTCCTGAATCGTGCTTAAAGAGTTCTGTCTTTGGTGAGGACTGTTGTTATGCATCTTTTTAGTAAGCTTTTAACTGACTCTACCAAACTGTTTTAAGTGGTCTGTATCAAAGATAAAAAAAACAACAACTAACTGCCAATATAAAGTACCTAAACACAGAGAAAGATGAATGAATATAGAATGAACTACACCAGCTAAATCTAAATTAACAATTAAATTAACTTTCCAGCTAAGGAAAAGCAATAGATCAGATAAAGTTAAAATAAACTAAATTGAAATGTTTGCGAATAAAATTATTTCTAGTCAAGTTTTTTTTTGTTTTAAAGCCTAAGCTCACAAATGCACCTTGTGTTTCTCAAGGAACTCTGGCGTGAGCGTCCACGGTGCATCTCTAAGAACTTCGTCAACGTAGCGGCAGTGCCTCAGGGCTTCGTAACGTTCGTGCTCCGTCATGACTGTGAAGCCCTTGTACTTATGAGTCAGCTCATCGCTGCACACTGTTGCATGAGAAATGGAGAGAAATCACAGGAACACAGAAATAAACATGGATCGAAATTAATCCGTTTGTCAAATTTGAGTCTGTGGCCCCGTCTTACCTCCTACTATGAGATAGGTGTTTGGAAACAGGTTCTTGGCCTGCATGAGGGCCCGAGCATGGCCTGAGTGGAACAGGTCAAAGATGCCATCTGCGTAGACTCTGACTGGCCGGTCGACTGAAAGTAAATAATATTCAATTTGCAGATATACAGAAGAAGCGTATGTTTGTGTGAAGCTGATGAAGACTCAAAAAATAAGAAAATATAGAATTATAATTAAGGAATCTTAAGAAAATGATAAAAAAAAGTTTGCAGCTTAGATCTTTTTTTTTCCAGGTATATCTATGCTTTCTCGGAGTTCAGTAATAAATATTTTATAAGTTTCATTTTTTTTTATATCTATCAAGTTTATGCAAAGTTTTAAGATTTCTGAAATCTCCTGGATTGCAGATTCAGTACCAAACGCTGAGTGATTGTGACTCATTCTTGTCATATTGCTTAAAGGCTGCAATCCTTTTATTCTGCTTTCTTTTTCCTAGATAATTTTTTTTTGAGAAATGATCATAGGTCAACCATGGTATTATTATTATCAGAAAAATCTTTAAATGTGAAAGACACAAACTTCCAGTTTTCCAATGTTCAGTGATGGATTTCATTGCATTATCAGATTTCTTTCTATGACACAGAGTTAGATACAGTGTGCTGGATCATTGCAAGTCAGTTAGTTTGAAAGTTTTAACTGTAAAAATCACAGTCCTTTCCATAAATTGCATCCAAATAACACATTAGTGATTGATACAGATAATTAAAGAAATATTCGTACATGTTAAGGAAGACAAGTTTATTTGTATATCACAATCCAGTACAAAGACAGTTCAAAGTGCTTTACAACAGTTAGACAATAAAACTGAAAAACATAAAAGTAGAATAAAAGGAAATAAAGATAAAAGCATGATAAGCATGAAAAGCATGACGTGGAATTGGCAGCCTAGTGCTTAGGGCATAGGGCTTGAAATCCTAAGGTTGTGGGTTTGAAACCCACTCCCACACACTGCCACTCCGGCGCTCTGAGCAAGACCCTTAACCCCTGATTGCTCCCTGTGCGTGGCACACTGTTCCCAAAGGGGATCGGTTGAATGCAGAGAGTTAGTTTCTCCATTGTGAGATCAATAAAGTTTAATTTATCTATTTTTTTTTTCTAAATACAGATAATACAGAAAAGTAAATGAAACAGTTGCTTGTTAGAAGAGGCAGGATTTTGTTTTGGTATGACACAGAGAGAGGGGAAGCTGAGGAGGAGAGCACATGTTTCCCAGGAGATAAAGGTGGTTAAGAAAAGGAGATCTCCTGTTAAAGAGTTTAGAGTTCCAATTAAATCCGAATGACAATGATAACAGCCGACCTCTCTGATAAGATCATAGAAGAAGGATTGTACTGATCTTTTTATTGTAGGGCTAAAACACAATCCAAATAAGGTTTAGTGATTCTGCTAACCTATCCTAAATTACCTTTCTTATCTATGGTCACATTATTATCTGATTACAAATTTTAGAATTAGTGAAATATCAAGATGAATTCAGTCTTAACCATAAAAACCTAGTGGTCAATTTGTAGAAAACCACGATTTCCATCAATCCTAAAAGTTTTAACCAAGAATGAAGCTTTAACAGATTAGGGAACTTTTTCTACTTCAGTTGACAAAAGCTGGTCAAAATAAAAATACTAGATTACATGTTCCAAAATTTTACATCTGCAAGTCAGCGCTGGTTATAACCCTGCTACACCTGAAGGATAAGAGACTTACATCGGATAAGGAAAAAAAACATCTTAAGCTGCCTGAAAGAGAATAACTCTGGAAAAACGTCCAGGTTTCATGGAGCTGCTAAACTGACTAATCAGGAAAAAAGCTTTGGTCAGTCAGTATGAATAAAACCCAATGTTCCAGTGCAGTGAAGCAGGACCCTTGCAGAAAAAGCAGTAATCCAAGTATTTTTATCAAGTAGTCAAACAGAGGTCACTCCTCTCTAAAAGTCATGTGTAAAAGAAATAAATAAAAAAAATCATAATTGCATCTACTCTCTAGTTCTCTAGTTACTCATTGTTGGCTCATAATTTAATGCTGTGACCTAAAAACTGTAACTTAACTATAAAAACTTAATAAAGTCTTTCCATAACTGAATTAATTTGGAGTTAATTAAACTGAGATAGAGATTTTAAACGGTGCACAGCAAGTCAGACCCTTCCACTTAATGTATTTGGTTTATTTTAGATCCTAAAATCCTCAAGAGAAACTAAATGGACAGTATTAATATAGTGTCATACATATTTAGAGATATCTCATAAACAAGGTAGTCATGGAACCAAAGCACAAAAGAACAGAAGTAGTTGGTTTACAAGGTAAGAAAATCTAAGAAAAGAGGTGTGAATACTTTTGCACTGAACTCTCTATGGAGGAATACGGCTGATGAAATATAATCTTCAGAAAGGGGAGAATATCACAAAGAGATAAAGTGAGGAATGGGAACACCGAGCAGGATCAAGGTGAAGATGAATGGATACCTGGGGTCCCTCTGCGTGCTTGTGCGATGCTGAGCTTCTCATGAGGTGCGCTGCAGTCGCAGCTGGTCTCCGCAGCAAAGATGGCAGGCTCGGTCAGAGTCTGAGACAGAAAGGGACTGGGTCAGAGGAAGAACCTGGAGCACGGCCGTTTGCCACTTGTCTCCCACTTACAGTAACCGCAATTAAGGTATTGACTACGGCTGAAGCTCACTCTGCTCCCTGAGACAACAGCAAGGCAGAAAGAGCTGCACTCAGTGCTATTGATCACTGACTTTCACCTCTCTGCATGTACTGCAAATAATGACAGGACGTGTATGTAACTTAGCATGGTGCTGAAGGGACAAAAAAGCTTTGGTTCACCCTGATTCTGCAGCAGGAAACTGGTAAGAAAGGTATTTATCTGGCTGTGCCAAGAATCTCATCAAGGTCAAAGTGTTGCAGTTTCATCCCCTCCTGGAAACCTGTGTTTTGTGTGCCATCTGTTGACTGCTGGGAATATTCACCCATTCTCATTCGCACCCTTAAAGAGAAACAGCATGGAGCAGAAAGCCGGGGGAGTGTGAGAGGACGAAGAGAGCATATAAACAGGTTCAGTCAGGCCCCTGACGTCAGCACTTCCTACAGGAGTAGAGGCGAAAATAGAGTCTGAAATGGTGACAGGTTTCAGGAAAACAGAATTTGTCTCTTGGAGTTTTAATAGACTTTAAATCACACAGAAACTGTGAGGCTTTTCCGGCTATCTATACATGCAAGAGATGCAGAAATCCTCCTGTACCAGTATGTAAACGATACTGTCTAATGTATAATAATTATAATATAGATTAATTCAAATAATTTTCCATTTGTATCGAACTGAAGCTTATCTACATGTTTTGTGCATCCTTTCCCTCCTTTATAAATACTTTTAGAGGTACACCTATAACTTATGGGCAACTATCCACGCTGGTGTTTCTCTTCTAGCCAATAGGACAAGACTGTAGACTTTCAAATGGTTGAAATTTCAAGCTCTTTACCTAGTCCAAAAATCTTCTTTTATGTTAATTTATGATTATTTCTTCTTTTTTTACAGGATTTCTGTGTGAAAACTGTCTGGTGGCCACAGAGGATGGTTTATTCTGCGTCTCTGTGTAATTAGCTTCATGTTTTGGATCTTTATTCTACTGGAAGATCCACCAAAGACTTGTTTTCAGTGTCCTAAACAAAGCAAAAAAAAAAATCATCATTAAAAATGTGCTAGCATTACAAAGAACTCATGATGTACCCTGATATAGCTTTTTAGAGGAGAGAACAGCCCACAGCATAATAGATTTCTCGCCATATTTAACAACTGTTCATTATGTTTTAGCACAACTAATACACTTAATTATATTAAATAGGATGGATTTTTTCCCCCCACATTTGTTTATCTTAGGAATGTCATATTGCTATGAATGATACATTTATTTTAATATTGTTCTGTATGTGATTTAAAGTAAAAAGCTCAGAGGTCAGTCAGCAGCAGCTATTATCCCTTCAGGAGGAGGCATTATTACCTCTGATTCCTCCAGCACAGTGATACTGTTGAGTTAACAGAGAGCAGATGGCCAAGGTTAAACTTTGTGATCAGGAGTATGCAGAGGCCTATCAGGGCGTGTGGCCGGAGCGTGCTCGTTCTAAAGCCCGATCTGGCACAAGATAGGACATCTGGCATAAAGAAGGATTAAAGCTGTAGAAAAACTGGCCATGCAATAACACAGGCAGCAAAGAGAGAGGCTGCCTACAATAATATAAGATGAGGAGAAGATATGGGGGTATGAAGGTTTGGGAAGACAAAAGGACTGAAAAGGTGATTTGTATCAAGGAGTATTAAGGCAGAGGATCCAAACACGGGAGGCTCTACGATCTCACTGCGACAGTCATCACTCAGCAGGGCATTCCTCTTGATTTGGCAGACACCCCTCAGCAACAACAAGGACTGTCCACTCGGCACTCTGAGCATCTCCCTCATGCACATACATCTAGGATATGTTTCATAACAGGGAATAAAGGAGGACCCTTTTGTTTCCCCTCTACTTCCTGTCTCCGTTCCTCCCTCTTTCATACACACACACCTACACATATAATCAGTCTTCCCTGTCTCCTCAGACTGATGGAGAACCAAACAGTAATACACAGCCACCCTACCGTCCGAGGATGAGGGCAGGTGTGTTCTAGCTCCTCCATTTTCCCCAAAGCCTCATGGGATGCAGCTGATTTCTAGCTGTTTTCTGACTCAGCATCAATGAGGAGATGCTTCTCTTCTGGCCACTCTGTCTCCTCTGTTTTCCCCGCCCACTCTCTGCTCCCTCTATTCTCCCACTCCCTCCTCCTCCTCCTCCCTGCCCTTTTTCTCACAGGGTGTAATCCTTTACAGGCAGCCGGAGGGTGACCAAGTTAAATGTGACGAGGAGTTATTTTTTAAGGAATGGCAGAAGGAAGTTAGAGTAGAGCTGTTGGTGTAATCTGAGCTTATTACACAGTAGTTGCTAGAATAGAATAGAATACACAACCTGAAATAGTTGTATTGACATCATTTTTTGGTGTTCCTAAAAGTCAATAGTCAGCACCACCCCTACTTTGCAATAGAGTAGGCAATATTAGTTTTTAATGTTCCACTTGACCAGAGGCGTCAAGTAATGAAGTACAAATACTTAGTTAGTGTACTTAAGTAAATTTTTTAGGTATCTATACTATATATTATTTTTCTTCCTATTTCTGACTTCTACTCATTATATTTTCACATAGGTATCCACGCTTTCTATTCCTTACATTTTTAAAACAATGTTACTCATTATTCTTGGCTTTAGTTTATGTTTACAAATATTTATTTCACATCATGTACGCCATCCAATGCAGATCATTTGCGACATCCACATCTAGTGAAAACTAGGGTAATTGGATGAGTCATATCACGCAAACACTCAATGGTTAGCTAAAGGAAATCATCAGAAGCAAGCAGGTGTTCTTTAAACTGTAAACGTGAATTGTCTATGCCATGCTACAATGTTGGATTCAGAAAAAGATGTTGAAATGCCTGAAAGGTTGTACACAGGTGAGAGCGTATCGGGAGATGTAGACCAACAAGACCTCCCTCATCATTGGCCCTATCTCTAAGAATTTTTCGAAATAGTTGTAAAATTAAGCTTTCAATTCATATAGTGGCATCTGGCTGTTTTTTTTTTTTTTTAAAGGGTACTTTATACTTTTATACTTTCATTAGTTTATGGAGCACATACTTTTTCACTTTTACTTGAGTAAATAGGTCAAGGTTGATACTTCAACTTTTACCAGAGTTTTTTTAAACTGCAGTATCTATACTTCTGCTTAAGTAACAAATGTGTGTACTACTGACATCACTGCACTTGACCCATTTTGATGCAGTGTTTTATTTTGCTTTTGTGTTTTCCTCCTATAAAACATCCACAAAAATAAGTTATAAGTTAATCTTTGATTTATGCTCATTATAACTGAATAAGAATCCTATGATTTGTATGTTATGTGCGTATATCAGACAGTTATTATACCCAAATTGCCTCTCCGGTTTATAAATAGGGCGCACCTACTGTCTCACTGCTGCAGACAAAGCCGCACGGAAGAGGTCTCACTTCGCTCCTTTTATATTTATTGTTGTTATCAAAAAGAATTTTGCCTAAACATTTAGCAAATAGATTAAAACATTTAAATCAGTTATAATTACAATGTTTTTTTAAATCGACAACATGAAACCGGAGGATTACATTTCTTGAGAGACATTCGATTAAAATTAGCAAACGAGCGTCTGTCTTTGTAGACAATCTGCGCTATTTCTATGGTGACGGAGGAGAGGCGCGAGACGTCCCATGTTGGACCAATCAGCGCGCGCTCCAGCAGCAGGAACTCTGGGGATTGGTGGAGTGAAGCGTTATAACGTTACAAACAAAACAATTGAACGCTTAAGATTTAGGTCAAGTGTAAAACACATGTTTAAGTTCCTTTAAAATGATTTCATGAAATAAGGTTCTCTATTATGAGGAACACTCTTATAAAAATAAACACTTATAAACGTTTATGTTCTTTATTCTCCATAGATGACTTTCTTGTCTCTAAAAGCATCGAACAATGAAGCAGTTTTTTTTTTTTTATTAAGACTGATAATATGTCACAATGTTTATTAATAATAACAGAAATAAGGTCCTCTCACCCTCCATGATCCTCTTCTGCAACAAACAGCTGCACAGCAGGGGGCCTCTCTGACCCGCCGCTGTTTCACCATAGTTCTCCAGCAGTAAAATGACTTCTGTCTTCTATTCCTTGTTGTTTTTATGAGTATATGAAGGATTATGTCCGTTTTTCTTAAGCACAACAGAAGAAAAGCAGCCCACCCTGTCCAGCTGGTCTGCCCACAGCCCCAACTGAGGGGGTCACAGTCTACACAGCAGCGCTACAGTAGATAATCTCACTGATAGACAGGCCTGGACCCTCCTCCTATTGTATGGAGTTGTAACTGACTATTTTATATGCAACTGCTTTTGACCACATATCAAAATAAGTCGCTCAATTGAGATAAAATATTCATCTTGCTTGTTATTGTTTGTGACAATAATTTTTTTAGATTATCTATTTATTGTCAGGAATCTTTTCAGGGATAACTTTAAATCAGCCTCGTCAGTAGACATTTAGGTAGGCTACAAAAAGCTTGTAACATCTTTGATTTTTTTTTTCCCACTCTGACCAAGCCCTTTCCAAAATCTTTTTTTTCTCCCCTTTTTTGCTTGAGACATTACTAGTTTTTTAGATAATCCGGGTCATGGGGCTCCAAAAATAACAATCACCAACATGCATTTGTGGCACCGACTAAAATTGAGGAAGTCCATGGAGGCAAGTACTGATTCTGAGCACTGAATAAACACATACAGAATAGTTCATTCAGCTATTTTAAAAAAATAATTTTATTGCAATGGCTTACAGTTGACAGACAGTTTTATAGATTTTATTTTATAAGATAATCCAATGCAGCTTGGAAAAGACAACTATTAGTATTATTACATGGAAAGTTTAGTGGAAGGAAAATGTGCGTGAATAAGTGAATAAGAAAAGGGTGAATAAGTCACAAGAATGATGGTAGAGTTTCAATGGTCACCAATATGTTCCCATCTTGGACAAAGGAACGATCCTTATATTAATCATCTTCCTTCCTGGAAAAAGAATTGTCGCCAAATCCAAGTTTGGGAGCCATTATGTCAGTGTTGGTCTATTGAGTCTAAAGACAGCCTTGATGACTAACAGTTAATGTTAGAATGCTTAATGTTCCCATGTGCTAAAAATTTTTAGAGAGATGCCAATTTCATTTCCTGGGGGAACTAGCTGCTGCCAGTGCAGCCAAAAGTACCAGCTTTAATTAAACCTATTTACCTGGAGAGGAAACTGCTTGATCCAACCATCCACCAATAAAAGACCGAACATAACACCTTTTATAAAAAAAAAAAAAAAAACTTAAGTTGTTTTATGAAAATAATGATTCAAATATAGATTTTTTACTGGTCTGCAATCAATAAATTAATAACTATGCTATACTTGGAAAAAATAAAGTGGTTGCAACTAGGACATGTTGTTATGGCCATGACTGATAAAGACTGATAAAGGTATATTTATGTTTGTTTTTATTCTATTAATGCATATCATTTTGTAACATCTCTGTAAAGATATGGAGTCACATTATTATAAAAAATGTGCTACTGTTTTACTTATTGTTTTGAAGCAGAGTTCTTGATTTCCAGTCGTGCATTTTTAAATGAATAAGAAAAAAACTCTTTCTGAATAATTGTATTTATTACAATAATGCCAACTATTGTTTTAATTTAGCAGTAAAAGTGTTTTAGTGTCACTGTTTGATACTGATGGTCTTTTTATGTTAGATTAACCATTATCCTACTGTAATATTATGATATAGAAGCATTTGGATAATGGTTGCCCTGTTGTTATTGTTATGATAAAAACATTTACAGGGTGCATCTGTGATAGGCTTCACCTGAGAATACTGTCTTTATTGATCACTAACCCTCATTTAGTACAGTTTACTTTGATTCCTCATACTTCTGTAGGCTACTAATACTTGTCATTGCTGCAATGTGTATTATATCTTCTGCAATATGAAATACAACAAAAGTCTTTTTATGGAAGCTTTTGGAGGGAAGTAATGTTTGCCAAATGAATTTGTGTGATCAAGGCGAAAATAAAAACAGTCTTACTTTCAGCTTGTAAGTTATAGTTTTAACTGCTTTATAAACATGACTAAAAAATGATCATAGGTATATGCCTACTTGGGTTTTTGCCTTGTCCCATGCTCAGGCTGAATGTACTTTAGATAGTGTGTATTCGTATCTAATTATATTATCATTATTAATGCCATTCACATAGCTAAATATATTCCGTCACCAAAATGTAACCCAGAGGTTATTGCTCACTCCAAACATTTAACTACACAGCAACTAAAACTTCTGAAGTAGCATTCCAAATATACACAGTGTAATATATATTAGGGGTGCTTACACAAAAAGCTTAAGAGAGCAGCTCGTGTAGCAGACAAACTGTGCTTTGTATTTCCATTATTGCTGTAGGCCTAGTTCCTCTATGGCCCCAGTCTGGGACAGAAATCTATTGTGCCCTTTACAGACCCGCCTGGTTTCTATGGAGACGGATATCATTGAGGTACAGTGGCTCATACCCTGAAAAATGGAGAACAATGACCTGAAATTGTCTTCTGAAACGAGCCTGACAGAAAAAGACAAAAATATTTTAATAATTAACAAACTAACCTAATCTAATCCACCCTCTTAAGAAAATGCCCCTTTTTATGCATTTAAATGTTTTAAATAGCTACATGAAAAATAATCAATGATTTTATCCAATAGTTAAATCAATCAAGACTACTTTCAGCATTTTTCTCATTTGTGTATTTTTTCTACATTCTAAAGGCCTTGCTTTCATGATCACCCTCAATTTATTGTTATGTTTTGTTAAAAACAAAAACCAACAAAAAATGGTTATGCACTAAATTATATATTAAATTTTTTTAAATATCTATATCTATCTATCTATCTATCTATCTATCTATCTATCTATCTATCTATCTATCTATCTATCTATCTATCTATCTATCTATCTATCTATCTATCTATATATATATATATATATATATATATATATATATATATATATATATATATATATATATATATATATATATATATATATATATATATAAAACTAACAAACTGTTTTTCTCACCCCTTGTGGGGTGGTATGTGTCATCCTCAAGCTCGGGTCCTCTACCAGAAGCCTGGGAGTTTGAGGGTTCTGCGCAGTATCTTAGCTGTTCCTAGGACTGCGCTCTTCTGGACAGAGACCTCTGATGTTTTACCTGGAATCTGTTGTAGACACTCTCCAAGTTTGGGGGTCACAGCCCCCAGTGCTCCAATTACCACTGGCACCACTGCTGCTCTTACTTTCCACATCTTTTCTAGCTCCTCTTTCAGCCCTTGGTATTTCTCAAGCTTCTCGTGTTCTTTCTTCTTGATGTTGCTGTCGCTTGGGATTGCCACATCTAACACTACTGCCTTCTTCTGCTGTTTGTCGATCAACACGATGTCTGGTTGGTTAGCCATCACCTGTTTGTCAGTCTGGATCTTGAAGTCCCACAGGATCTTAGCTCGGTCATTCTCAACTACCTTAGGAGGTGTCTTCCATTTTGACCTTGGGACTTCCAGCCCATACTCATGGCAGATGTTCCTGTACACTATGACAGCTACCTGGTTGTGGCGTTCCATGTATGCACTTCCTGCCTGCATTTAACACCCTGTGTTATGTGCTGTATTGTTTCAGAGGCCTCTTTGCACAGTCTGCACCGGGCTGGAATGGAACGCAAAAAAAAAGTCAGAATTCTGACTTTTTTCTCAGAATTACGACTTTTTTCTCAGAATTCTGACTTTAATCTCAGAATTCTGACTTTAATATCAGAATTCTGACTTTAATATCAGAATTCTGACTTTTTTTCTCAGAATTCTGACCCTCTCTTTATGGCACAAAACGCACTTCTGCTGGGGTGGAATAGAATGCAAAAAAAAAAAAAAAAAGAAAAAAAAGAGTCCCTGTCCCTCTCTTCCTGGCACAAAACGCACTTCTGCTGGAATGGAATAGAATGCAAAAAAAAAAAAGAGTTCCTGTCCCTCTCTTCCTGGCACAAAACGCACTTCTGCTGGAATGGAATAGAATGCAAAAAAAAAAAAAAAAGAGTTCCTGTCCCTCTCTTCCTGGCACAAAACGCACTTCTGCTGGAATGGAATAGAATGCAAAAAAAAAAAAAGAGTCCCTGTCCCTCTCTTCCTGGCACAAAACGCACTTCTGCTGGAATGGAATAGAATGCAAAAAAAAAAAAAAAAGAGTCCCTGTCCCTCTCTTCCTGGCACAAAACGCACTTCTGCTGGAATGGAATAGAATGCAAAAAAAAAAAAAAAAAAAAGAGTTCCTGTCCCTCTCTTCCTGGCACAAAACGCACTTCTGCTGGAATGGAATAGAATGCAAAAAAAAAAAAAAAAGAGTTCCTGTCCCTCTCTTCCTGGCACAAAACGCACTTCTGCTGGAATGGAATAGAATGCAAAAAAAAAAAAAAAAAGAGTTCCTGTCCCTCTCTTCCTGGCACAAAACGCACTTCTGCTGGAATGGAATAGAATGCA